AAAAATGTTCATCATTACTGTAGTGTAAAGTGTTATCATATAGAAATGTTCTTCAATACTGTAGTGTAAAGTGTTATCAAGTATAAGTGTTCTTCATTGTTCTATTGTATTTTATTTCACAGAAAGTAACAAAATTACGATGTTGAACTAATATACTTTAGAAAAAGAAGTAGAATCTACTGATAACTCTTAACATAGCCTTAACATTGTCTTCTCTGTTCGAAAGGTGGGATTTAACAGTCACTCTTTTGATAACTTTTCGTGACTCATGAATCTACGGATTAACAGTTAGGGTAAACTACCCACAAGGCCACACTGTCCAAATTGTCATTCTTAAATGAATTAGGTTTCTCCCATCCGGTGGCTAAGTGGGAAGTCTGAACGCTTGCAACAATAGAAACTGGGTTTCAATACCCGCGGTTAGCAGAAAAGTGCCTATTGTGTAACTTTGTTGCAAAGTGATTGTTTATATAGGATAATTTGGTTATAACAACTTCTTTTGTATTTAGTATTTATATCTAAACAAGGTTGTTGTTGTTTTTGAAGTAAAGCACAAACCTACACAATAGGATATCTGTGCTCTGCCCACCACGGATATCGAAACCCGGATTCTAGCGTTGTCAGTCCGCAGACATATCGCTGTGCTACTGGGGGGCTATCAAAAAGGAGTAATCAGAATAGTTGAACAGAAGAAGAGAAATTAATTTAAAATAAACGAACCTTGGGATCCAACAGTTTGTCGAATTGTGGAGTTATGTAAAACAGAAGCCCGTCTCCAGCTCCTTCTAACGTCACTCCACGAAAAAACAGAATGATGAGAATGACGTATGGAAAGATTGCTGACACCCAGATGATCTGTAACGAATGTAAACAATTAACTTTAAAGAACTTAAACAAATGCAATAGTTAAACCAAAAATATTAGAAATTATTGAATATAACAAAAGCTATCAGAGGTGCTGAAAAAACAAGTATTATGCCACAGTTATTATTGTAATGGTGTTTTATGTCACTAGGTGATCTATCCTTATGATTACTGTAATGGTGTTTGATGTCACTAGGTGATCTATTCTTATGATTACTGTAATGGTGTTTTATGTCACTAGGTGATCTATCCTTATGATTTGTAATGGTGTTTTATGTCACTAGGTGATCTATCCTTATGATTACTGTAATGGTGTTTTCCAACTGAACTATACATAGTAAGGAGAAGGAAAGATTACATACAATAGCCTGACAGTAATCATAAGGAAAGATCACCTAGTGACAGAAAACACCATTACAGTACTCATAAGGATACGTCACCTAGTGACATAAATCTCACCTTTCCACTACT